GCTGACTTCTTTTAGTGCTGCAGGACAGACTCCTCCTGCTCTTCGCCTCACATGCCAGCCCGGTAAGATGCAGAGGCGGCCAGAAGTCAGGTTTTTTGAGAAGTTACTTTGGACCACAGAGCAAAGCGGAGATGAGGAGCTGGGTAAAGCGGCACCCATCCGAAGAAAGACGTATGAAGAATTATCTTAGGTGATTTTGAAACTGGAATTAACTAAAGCGGGCAGGAGCTTTGCTTGGCCCATGGGATCCTGCTCCCAAGGACTGCCATCTGTCATCGCTTCTGCCAAGAGGTGCGCATCAGGAATTAGTACAGTAATCATAAAATGGATTTTAAAACTTGGATGCGGTACCTAATTTCACAGTGCAGGCAAGAGCATTTTCCGCTGAATCATTGAAAGAATCCATTTTGTAGTTTTCTCTGTTGGCAAGCAGTCCGGGGTGGCAGAAGAGGCTGAGCCGCACGCGGCCGTACCCGTCGCAGGCCCGCTGCGGGAGCATGTCTTTGCTCGCCTCTGCCGTGCAGGAACCCGCCTTCTATAGTCGTGTGCGGTTTGCTTAACGTACGCATTTAGCTGTAATTTGGAGCAGAGAGAGAGAGAGAGAGAGAAATTCTGTGCCGAAAATGTACCGAGGTCCTGGATAGCCCCTCTTGCTGTGCGTCCGCCCTGTTGAGCATCTGTAAGCGATTGACCCATCAAGGAGAACCTCGACATTGTCGGGCGGTGCTCGTTGCTGCTCTGCGGCGGAGCTCTGCAAGCCCCAGCCTGCTCCCGAGAGCTTGGCCGCCTCATCCCTCTTTTGGTGTGGGTTCCCCGCGAAGCAGCACGTGGGAAGGCGGCTTTCAGCTGAGAGTGCATCAACCGGGAAGGGTCAGCTGGTTTGATGGTGGTGGTGGTGGTGGTGGGCAAGGGTTAGGAGTCACCTGGGCTTCGGAAAAGGAGCATTTCCCAGAATGTTTTTGCTGTGTTATTAAGGACAGTTTTGGTCCAGGTTTTGTGTTGAGAGTGGGCAGATTGCTGCATTGTAGGAGCTGTATCGCTTGCACGGAGATTGCCGGAGGACCAGGGGCTGCTGCAGTGTGATGATTCAACTCTGGCATGACTGGCATGGCCCCAAAGAACGCGTACGTCGAGTGCAATGCAGGTTTTCTGTAGCAGCTTCTGGTAGCTCTTGTGCTCAGTGAGATTACTGGAGACAACCACAGAGTTAAACTTACTGCACGTGGTTTCCTTGTGATGCGTATTCTGATTGTATTTCAGGGGAGAGGCATGAGGGCGAGGAGGCCACCACCTTTCACACTTCTTCTTGCCTTTCCCCAGAAAACCAACCTTTTATTTAAGCGCGTGGTCGTACTCCCGGATAACGGTCGTGCCTGCTGTGTGTTAGCATCCTTGCTAGGTTGGCCTGATGAAAGGAAACGGGTAGAAATAATAGACTGAGGCTTTCGTAAGGCACCGAACTCGGCATAACATTTTCTCTTGGCCGATTAATGAGATCTAAGCATTATCGATGGAGCGTGTGTTTAAGTGGATTAAGAAATCACTAACTGGCAGATCTCAAAGGATAGTCATTAGGGAGTAATCGGCAAACGATGGTATTTTTAGAGGGAATGCGCTGGCCGGGGTGCTCGGCCCGATGATGTTCAGTGCTCCCGTGAAGCATTTGAAGTTCCTAAAAAGTCACCGCTAATAATCTTTGCTGGTGGCACAAAAGCAGGGCGAGCAGCTAATAAGAGGAAGAATTGGGATGGTTGCCAAAGAACTTTTGAGTGTTTTGGTAACTTCCAAAGCAGGGCGCTTTACAACTGTGAATCGTCAGTGGGTGCAGGCTGGGGCGGCCGGCGAAATCCAGAGGGGAGATGCGCTCTCCCCCATTGTCTACGGGGCTCCCTCCGAGCCGTCGGGCCCCTGCCGCTTTGGCACGACGCATCGGTTGGAGAAGCCTTCGGCATCTCCTTTAGTCGAGACGTTAAAACAGAGGTTGCTCGGCAGGGAGGGGGGGAAGGAGCGTTTTTTGGCGAGGAGCGGGGTGCGCTGTCCCCGCCGGGAAGGCTGCGGTTCCCGCGCGCCCAGGCGCACGGCACGCCTGTTGTAAAAGGAATCTCATCAAACGCGGAATGGGTTTGTAATAAGTTTTTCAAATTGGTTGCTGCTACAGCGTAACCTTTAGACTACTGGTATTTAACCTTGTATATCACTCTTAGCTTTTGAATGAATTTAGCTTAATAAAGGTGCCTTATTAAATTACTAGGCTGTTTTTTAAGCCGTTAGAAATAGGCGTACTAGGAAATAGCTCTGGGTTGTTAGATCTAATTGGCTGCCAGTGGAGTATGTAGTGGCTTAGGTGCATAGATGCAAACGCTTATTTTTATGTAGTATTCCAGCGATATGATGTTACAAAATTCTGAGTCGAGGATTTCGGGCTGCTGGAATGCACTTGGGAGTGAAAACTCTCCTGCTTCTTGCCTTACCTCCTAGGTTGCCATCCAAGATGGTCATTGCCCCAGATTGTACGGCCACAGATGTCACCACTAGAACGCGGCCTTTTCCATGAAGTGGCTAATAGGCGGCAAGCTGCTCGTCCGGGCGTTGAAAACCATCACAACTTTACCAGCGAAGGCTACTAAATGTCACCGTCCCGTGTAGGAGCTGAGCTCAGGATCCCACGGTGCTCAGCATTTCGCAAAGCTTTACTAACAGAGTTGGTAACCTGCAGAAAATATGCTGACTTTGTCTGAGATGGGACGCTTAGCAGTAGAAGTAGAACTAAAGTAGCTCTAAAGGCGTGTCCTTAAAAAAAAAAAAAGGAAAAAAAAAGACACCACCACCCCCCACCAAAATCTTGTTTGAAGCAAGTGAAATTTTTTATTTTTTTTTATACTATGAGCCTAATTAAAATGTGGGTTCTCCTGAGGTGCCCAGCCGTCCTTCCGAATCCTTCAGACTTGTGAAGCGTTTTCATAAGTGCTCGCTGTAATTACCGGCGTGCTGGCGAGTCCTGCTTAGGAGAGACGTTCGCCGTGATAACTCTATTGGGTCCTTTCTTGTCTTCACGAGTGCGTGTGCGTGTGCTAATAAAGCCCAGATTTCTATTGCAGGTGACACCTCTGAGGTGTCCGGATCACAGTGGTTCACTTTGTGGCTTCCATTTGTCTGATGAAGACTGTGGGGCTGGAAGGCTGAAAGAGGAGGGCTCACCTCCTGTAGTTCTGGGGGAGCTCACCGAGTTGGCAGTTCATTCGCGGTACGGCAAGCCTTCGGTGCGTTCCTCCTGATTTCCATAAGTAATTGTCAGCTGGTAAACAGCTCGTTAGAAATACTGAAAGTTACCGAACAAAAAAGGGATGGGAGCAACAGGAGGGGCAAGCTGCCGTAGACCTTGCACAGAGCTTTCTCAGCTCTCTCTGTTCCCATGCAAACTGGGCTGAAAAGGTTTTCTACTCTTCCTACAGCACAGAGTATAATAGCATCCATGTTTCTGGCACGGCCTCTTAGGTACTGCCGCAAAGCAAATAATAAATAGCGAGCAGATGGCCAGGGGGTTGGGAATTGTGAATGAGAGTGGCGAGCGTGAGCACAGCGTTTAAGATGCTGCTTGTGATTTACTTGCTGCATAATACTTGGTTTGACTCATCTTCCCGTGTCGATGCGTTGTGTAAGCGCTCACGGCGCAGACCAAGCTCAGTAGGGTGTTTCAGCACGGCTTTTCGCTTGCCCCTGCTTTTCCTCTGCGTGCTCATGCCACGTCCCTGCCAGGGCTCCGTGGCCTGGACCGCCGCCGCCAGCCCGGCCCCTCGCTGCAATGAGGGGACTTGGCTACGCGGGGGACAGGTCCCTGCTCCGGGGTTTGGCTCGAGGGCACGCTCGGAGGCTCTTTCCCCCTCTGATGAAGGACCCTTTTTCCCCTCAGCTCGCACCCAGAACATACCAGTCGCTTCCGCACCTTTATTTTGCACGTGTGAGGCGTGTTTTCAGGCATGCCGCGGTCACCCGCGTTTCCGGTGGAATTGGGACTCCCGACACCCCCAGAAGCGTCGCGATCCCCGTGCGGCGGCCGCGGTTCCCAGCCGGCAAAGCCGCCTGAGTTTCATAGCCACGAGAAGCATCTGTAATGGGGATTAGTTTATAAAATGTTTGTGGTATAGTCATCTCGGGAGAGGATTTACTCGTGTAGTTTATTCCATTACTGAAAATTATGAGAATTTAAATTGGTTAAATCCTGACATGGATTTCCTGCTCACCACCCCCCCCAGTAATCTCTATTATTCCATAGGAAGCATGTTAATGAGTTAAACACAGTTAATAAAATGCAGCAAGCCAATATTTTGGGTAGCAGTTACTCTCAAAGGAAATAGAAACATTTAAATGGTTTCAACCTTTATGCATACTGATTTTTTGCCTTCCTTTGTTCCTTACAGTCGAGTACATTCCTGAAAAATGTACGTGGCTTAATGGCATTTGTAGCATCGAATTGATTTCTTGCACTGATAACATTTTAGCTACAGCTTAGATTGCATTTTTAATCTCTGTTTCGGTTGTAGGAGGTAATGAATTTTTTAATTGTGGACTCTGGGTTCATGGTATGGCTCTTTTGTTTTTTTCCTGCAAGGTCTTACTACGGCGTTTTTTGAGTTGGCTCCCTGACTGTAACTGCTTTACTTCTCTGTGTTTATTTTTAGGGTCTAGAAGAGCTTCGTTCGGACGAAATAAAACCTTCTGTTGGTTAAACAAAAGCAGCGGCGGCTGGCTGTGACTTCTTTTTGTGTTTCTTACAGGCATCTCTTGTAAAGCCCAACACATAAATTGGGGTGCAGGCCAGGTGGTGTCATACAGTAACATGTGATTACACGGTAAAGCCGAGCTCAGCAGCTGGTCAGGCGGACGGCACGGAGGCGAGGGCCGAGAGGAGAGCGGCAGCAGCGGCGGCGCTGACCGCCTCTTGCTTTGGGGGCGCGCAAATCCGATCCCATTGACGAAACGATGTTTTTTTTGTCCCACAGATAAGCCTCAAGTGCGGGTTTCTCAGAATTACCCGGTGCAAGGCCTCACGAGAGAAGGGGAGCCGCTTGAGCTGACGTGCGCAGCATTTGGAAAACCACAGTAAGTTGGACGCTTCCCGAGGACGGAGTGGGTTGTCCGGTGACGAGGGGGTCGTGCTGCAGTAGCGCGCGGACGTTGTTTGGCCCCTGTCGCTATTGCAGACGCTCAGCACGCCATTCTCTGCTGCGAAGACGACGTAACGGCAGCGTGAGAGGGAGAGATGCTTTCTGCACCTGAGCGTCTGCTGCGCAATTAAGGCGGCTGTTTTGCTTTGCCTGTGTTCCTGTACAGCTAATGGCCGAGGGATTTCTACTCGAAGAGCTCCTAGGAGAGCTCTTTGTGGCCAGCAGGCAGCCAGCCCTCGGGTGCAGAAGGGGAAGGTCCCCCCAGCCGTGCCCCTCTTCCCCCAGGGAATGGCTTGGGGGTGTCCATCGGTTGCGATTCATCTGCAAAAGCGGGGCCAGGGGCCTGCGGGTTGAGTCCCGGGGGGCAGGTGCCGGTAGGCAGAAGCGAGGCTGGCACCAAAGACCTGGGGGCTTGTAAAAGCGGAATGGATCCCTAAGGTAAGGCAGTCTGTCTTTCTGCTTGTACTGACGGTGGGATGGATTCCCTCCCTTTGGGTGCCCTGTGCGGTTTTTATGAAACACCAGCTTTATTCTTTCTCTTCTTCTTGCCACGCCCTTGAGGCTTTCTTATCTAGTTGAAGAGATTTACGCATCAGGGAAATCCTGGCAAGGGAGGGTAGATTTTCTTCCACACTTCCATTGTTGTTCTAATTTAAGTTTTGTCGACTTTCTGTTTTTTAAAAATGTTTTCTCTTCCACTCGGATTTATGGCTGTCGAGTATTTACTCTCCCTTTTTTTTTTTTTAATTTTCATCATGTCCATAAGATTTCTGCAAACATCCCCGAAATCTCTCAGCGTCTCCTTGGTAGCGCGCCCCGAGCTGAGGAGTCACGGCAGGTGTAGTGGAAGCAGAAGCCATCTAGTTTGACAGTTCTGCTGCCGTGGGCAGGGGCAGGCAGGGCGGCAGCGCTCGGCAGCGAGGAGGCGTGGGGCACCGTCATCCTCTACGGCAGCGTACCTCCTCTCCCAGATTGTTTGATTGATTCCCGCTTCCCAGTTTCTTCTGTTCGGCACGAGGCTGATCCCATCCCTGTACAGGAGAGACTGGCACATCCCCTGCCGAGTTCCCTTTTAATGTCTAATCCCTGCTCAGGGTCTGTCAAAGCCCCTCTGCGTTCCTCCTTTCATGGATAACTGCCGTTCCTCCCATTTGGTATCATCTGGGACTTTAATGAATAGGCTTCTTTACATACTTCCCCCTCGCCCCCTCCCTTCCAGGCTATGAATAAGACATACACATGTTAAATAAGACAGACAGATCTCCCCGGCAGCGTGCCACTTAACATTACGGTGATGCTAGTAATGTGCTAGGAATTCGCTTATGTAGGTCACTTCACCTGTGTCTCTCAAAGTCTAAGAAAATATACAGTAAAATAATGGGCTGTGTTTAGCTCTTACGTTTTTAAGACAAAGAGATTTTGTAACACCCTTTACAGAGGTTTAAGACAGAACAGGGATGTTTCTCCAGTTAAACAAAATCCTTTCTCTGCAAAATTTGGCAACGTAAACAGTGGGGGAGGGAAGCTCAAAGGAAAACAAAAGATCAGAGAGTAGAGATTTCTGTTTTGGTATTAATACAGGTATTTTGTTAGATGAGACACAGAACACACACACCCCCCCCAAGACTATGACAAAAGCGGGAAGATGCTGGCACGGTCACTTTTAGGACATCCGGGGTGAGACACGTCTCTGGGAAACGGGCCGCCGTGTAGCGCACGCAGTGTGGGAAACCTTGGGACTCCCAGATCACAAATACAGCCTTTTGAAAACCACAGCCGGGAGCATCAAAACCCTTTCCGCCCCTACTGAGGTTAAGCTGCAGCTCTGCTCTCTCAAGAGCTTCTGCTGCCCGCGCCGCGGCTCATGCACCGACGGCCCAAAAGTGAGGAGGAGAGCGCCCGGCCCTTGTCCAAAACCCGACGTCAGCTCTGTAGCAGGCAGCTGATACCCAACCGGTTTGGCTCAGTGTTGGATCTGTCCCAGTAGCCTGGCTGAGACGGTGAAGCCTCAAGAGCTTCTACACTGTGACGGTAACCTGCCGTTTGGATGCTAGGAAAAGCCCGAGCTACGAGATGCCTCCAGCAGCGCGAGCTCCTGGCAGAGTCCGACTTGCAAACTGGGGAACGAGGCGGGCTGGAGGCTGGCGTCCTGCGTGAAGCTCCCCTCTTAAGAGCTCTCTGCTGAGTTGCCCCAAAAATACGCTGTATTTTTCTTGCTGAGGAAGGGTGTCTCAGGAGTAGCCCATCTGTCCCCTTACTGCTGCTTAAAGATTATAACAATAATAAATTAAAAAAACACCACCAACAAAAAAACCCAAACCACCCCCCCCAAGCCCCGCAGCACTTGCTTTCTTTACTAGCTTCCACCCCCCCCAAGCCCCACAGCACTTGCTTTCTTTACTAGCTGTGACCAAACAGGCCAATGTCATTCCCGAAACGATGCAAACACGATGCTCGCTGCGGTTCCGTTAGCCCAGGGATGCAGGAGAGCGGCTGCCGGGCGGCCCCGCGGGGCCCGGGGGGGGGGGGAGGAGGTTT